TAAGGGATCTATACAAAAGTGATATATCATTAAATTAGGTGATCTATATGAGGGAACATATTTCTATGCATGTCTATTAACATAACTGACTCAAGAAAAAATAGAAAATTTTAAACTTATGAGATTAAATTAGACTGAACAATAATAAAGTCTTCCATTAAGTAAGTCTGATATATCATAGATTAATTGGTAAATAAAGTGAAACACTTAAGAATTGATGCCAGTTCCTTTAGAAATATTTGTGGTGGTTCCACAGGAAAAGAGACTTCTCAACTCATTCTATGAATCTATCATTACTCTGCAACCAAAGCTAGAACTCACCACCAGAGGAAAAGACATTCTGTAACACAGCAAGTGAAGAAATATTGTACACTTACAATATTTCTAGCATGAATATAAAATAATACAAATGATGCCAAAAATAGTTAGGGTGGACCACAAGTTACTAAACAAAAAATTGTCCTAAGCAAGTAGTGAACTCCAGAGCTTATATTTTAAGCAATAGGAATCTGTTATTCCAATAAAGTCTTGAATATGTATTTCCTTGGAAGAGCAAATCATAAGAGCCCAATGGTGAAGAGTTGACTGCTAATCAATGCAGTAACTACCTCAGATACAGCTGTACAGGGGTTGTGAAAGGAGATTTATCATGTAGAACAGAAGCAACCAAAGCCTGTGTTTATTCGATACCTTGTCTTGTTTCATATTATAGCTGCCTTGGCTTTTACAAACTACTTTTTTTTTTGCCTTCTTTCCTTTATGTTTCTTCTAGGACTTAGAGGATTTTATCATTAAGTTTGGAGACTCAGGTTTTGTCCTTGTGGCACTGGGCTCCTTAGCAACCCAGTATCAGACCAAGGAACTTATTAAGGAGATGAACAGTGCCTTTGCTCGCCTCTCTCAAGGGGTACTGTGGGCATGTAAGGATGCTCATTGGCCCAAAGATGTCAGAATGGCTCCTAATGTCAAAATCATGGATTGGCTTCCCCAGACTGACCTTCTGGGTAAGCACCTCCTAGACCTTTTACTTTATTTCTGTTAATGTGCTTTGGGACTTAGTAGATAACTGATGTCTGAGTGCTTGGACTTGCAGAAGAAAAGGCTGCTGATAGGTAAAGATATAACTCCAACAGGCAGGCAAAAGGAGCTAGATTTGCTGGAGGAATCGGGCTGTACTCTAGACGACCATAGTAGCAACTTCCTTGTCCATTTCAACTCAGACTGATCTCAAGATCCAAAATAGATATGTAGCCTTGACTCAACAGTTTTTAACACTGATCTGATCACTCCAACACAATCTTGACCTATATGAGCTATAACTACTCCTTGGGCAGTTGCCACCATTTGTTGCCGTTATTCTCACAATGATGTGAGAAATCTTTGGTATTTTTAAACAAACACACACATGAATGTAAGCATACAGACACATCTTGGTTGTCAGAAAAGTACAGAAAACTCAGGTATTTCCAACATGAATATTGGAGGGTTGAGGTCGTAGGGAGGTATTTGAGTGCTAACCCAAGTAAGCTTACAGTATGATATGGAGACACTGATTTCTTAGGCAACAGAGAATTCCCTAAAGCCACATCCTCTCAAATTATTTGTTTCTGTGTGACTTTTTGGAGACCCATCGTTTCTACACTGAATGGCTGAATCTGAATTATGTACCTTAGACTGTGACACAAAAGAAACTGGAATGTTTTTCACACAAATCTCTGTACAGTAAAATCACAGGTTACACAATAGGAAAAAGACTTGATTTCCAGGAAATATGGGTAGATTTTAAGTGAGGTATAGTTTGGGATGATTTCTTTATGATCATAAGAAATTTTTGGTAGCTTTCAATATGGACCAACAGTCAAGATCTGTAAATACAGGAGTTCCTGGTCTACCATCCCCTTCTGTAAGCTTCTCTTAA